GCTGTTATGAGTACTGGAGATGTAGAATAAGATCTTAAATAAACCATGTTTTTAAAAGCTTAAATTAGATATTTCTCTACAGTGTTGAACTATATTGTGAAAGAAAATGTTTGTAAAAGGCAAAGTTTACAGCACAGAAGATAAATGTTACAGAGTATCAGTCATTTGCACACCATTCAAAGATTAAAAACTGAAACTATGATAAGGGAATAATCAGTCTGTTGCTTAAGTATTCAATATGTGTTTGCTGTTGCTATAGGTAGTATAGAAAATGATACTAAACTAACATCAACATTTGTTTTCAGCTAGGGCAAAAGCATTTGGAACACACTGTGGCTGGAACATGTGTGAACAGAAAGAAGCAGTATCCGCTACTTAAATACTGTCTATGTGACTTTAATTTTTCTCTCACATGTTATAACACTTCGAACACCTTGGTGGCTAGCAACTTGCTTTCCAGAGCATCAGGTAGTACTTCTTCTTTTACTTTTTTCCTGATTGTTCTTTGCATAGAGTAGTAATATATCAGAATGAATTTATATTCTGATTACACTGCAGCATATTATATTTGTGGTTGTTTGGCATTTTTAAGAGATTGTACAAAATATTTGCTTTTAATATTTTGACAAATGTTAATTTTTTAATGTATTCATTGTTCTACCTGACATTTTTTCTGTCAACATTAGAAAATATGTGTACCAGTACTTTTAAACTGGGCTAGGAAAGTTAATCACATTACCTCGTGTATGGTTTTCTTACTGATTTATTCCATCTCCACACGATCAGAGGCCTAGCAGTTTTCTTTGACTTCAGTAACAGTCTCTTTTTTCTGAAAAAGAGATTATTTTTATTTAGATGCTTAACCTTAGGTGCCTATATTTGAAAGATTTTGTGTCAGTGATTATGAATACACCTTCAAAATAGATCAGACTAAGAGAAACCACTTAAAAAAGTTATAGGGCATGTTTCAGATCAGCACGTTCTGTTAGAGCATAAGGTTGAGGAAAATATATAAATGAGAAAGAACAGCTCATATTTTACTCTGTAATTGTCAACTGCAATCTTACCTACCCTTCCTTTGCATTTTTAGTCAAGATGAAATACTTTACCCCTTTGAAAACTATTTTTTCAGAGTTGTTACAACTTCACCACTTGTACAACTCAAATGAAATAAAAGGTTTAATTCACAAAAATTTTGGCAACATTTTTTAAGAATCCTATCATTTCAGATATAGGCAAACCAAAACCATTGACTTAGTATCTTATTTGGTAAATTTTCTCTCATGTTTAACTGAGTTCATGAAAAAGATAGATTCTTATAATTGTGGATGCCAGCAGTGAGCCTGAGCATACTAATTGTCTATTTTGTCCTCTTTTTTCCTGCCACATAGTGTTATTGCCTCTTGGCTGAATGTGGGATTTACATTACCAAGAAGTGGTAGCTATCTGTCAGTGCTGTTGTACGTTTATAGTATTATAAATTCAAGTTCATGGATTTTTCCAGCCTGGCAAAATATATTAAGAGTATTCTGTCCAAAATACATGAGAACAACATTGCTGAGTGGCCAGATACATCTTAAAAATATTGCTTGCAGCATCAGATAAAAAGAAGCACCAAAGCCTCTGCTTTCTTTCCAGAAAAAAACCCTGGCTGAAAGATTTGCAGCAAAATACTCCATCTTTGAGTGTCACAAGCTCGTATTCTGGGAGACTGCACCTATGGCTTTGTACCTCCTCTAGGAATAGGAGTGACAAAATACACAAGCTGTGGCTTTGTGTGATTATTGGAGGAAAAAAACTTGAAAAACCTCTTGAGATGCCAGATATTTGCTTTAGAAGCTTCTTAATTCAGATATTGTGATACACATGCTGTATTAGTTGGCCTTTACTACTGGTTTCCAGTGTTCTGCTTGAAGTGTTCTGTACTGGGCAGCAACAGTTATATTCTTTTCATTGGAATTTATTAATTATTTTTTTTTAAATTACACAATTCTTTCTTTACCAGCTGTTCACAGCTTTCACACAGCACATGCTGATGCAGACCATTCTTGTCTATACATGAAAATGTAGTGTTATAACAGTATAAACAGTAACATGCAACATGCAGTTGTACAGCAAAGCCTACCTACTATTATGAAATTCGGGTCTTACCGTGTATGAACAACTTGTTTAACAAGGATTTTGTCTCAGCACCCACAGTCTGAATATAGAGAGGCAAAGTGTGATGAGGGGATAGAAGCTTTTTACCTGCCATACCCTCTAGATCCTATTTTTCAGTACAAGTGACATGGTTTAGGAATGTTAAAACATGAAGAACCATAAGGATTAAGGCTGTAAAGCAGACTAGGAGATCATCTAACTGGTGGAACCTCTTTGGCCAGGTTCTTTATTTTTGTTTTGTAGTGCATGAAGTCTGTTTACCATAAATCAATGCAGTATCAATTTATGGCTAACATATATAGTGGTTTAATAAGATGAAAGATGTTTGATTGAAGGAACTGCTCTGTGTAAAGAGGGAAATGTGTTGATTTTAGTATGACTGAATTGTTGTAATAAGTTCTTGTATACAAGCCTACAAAGTGCTAGGCTGGGAAAACTGTGCCTTTCCTTACATTAGGATTTTTGTCCTGATAATTCTTATGTAGAGATATTTGTATTTTGTTGTCCCCATTGCCACAGAACAAAGATGAAAGAGCATATTTGGATGACACTGTCGCTGAACTAACTTTTGGAGCCAGTAAATAAAAATGGAAACAATTCCATGAAAGATCTTAACTTTTTATATTGCTTTTGAGTGACAGAGACCTGACTTGGGGTTTGATTGAAAGTCAAACTGAAATTTTGTTTTTAGAAAATATGAAATTTGTACCAAGTAGTACAAAATCCAATAAGAAAAGCCATTAATCACTCCAGACTAGGCAGTAGAGAATGCATTTTGCAGGGATGTGAGCTGGTATGGACCTGCCTTATTGCAGAATTGAATTCAGCGGTACAATTTTATTTTGATTTTGCTCCAGCTATGTTATGCAGAGATTGATTTGGAGCTGACATACCTCTCAAAACTGAGTGTACAAATACAGCAAGTTTGTGTTTGCCTTTAAAGACAAACAGTTCTGGAGACTCCAAATGAAGTTCCTAGATACCTACTGTGAGACTGCAGACACAGTGGCTAGGAGGATTTAACTCCTATTGATACGCTTAAGAGGAAAATATATTCTACTTCTGTTGATTGTGCCTGAAGATGATTGCTAATACTAAGGGGAATGACATAGACCTGTTCATGCTTAAAGTGCTGAAGTTATCTTAACTAACCTAATGGTAGAAAAACACACAGTCTCAGCTTTTATTACCTTCTTTTCTGTGATACAAGCAATTTTATTTGCACATCAGAAAGCAAGTAGCTTATTTGTCCAGACATAATCCTTTAAAAATGTCCTAATGAGCCCCTCCTTTTTGAAGTGAATGTTCTGTTTGTGCCATGGCAACACAGGCTTTTGGTTTCTTTGTACGTATTCTACTGCCTTGGTATCACTTCTGTCAGCACCACATGCAAAATAAATAGTATCCTTAGAAACTGTAAACTAAACATGGGAACACCGTTGATGCCATATAGCTTGTGATTGCATTTTGTGTTCTGATATGTGATAAAGATCACCTGGGAATGACTTGTCGAGTCATAGTAGTACAATATTCAGTGACACAAATTGCCATCCATGAGATTTTACCTGAATCACAGCGCAGAAGACGTATTTGTTGCTGTGCAAGGAACAAATTATTTGTAATAGAACTATGACTAAAAATAGGTGATATCAAAACTGTAAGATTGCGCTCTGTTTTTCTTGTTTTCGTAATGAAATGCTTCAAATGAGTAAATAGTTGTAGAATTTCATCCTGTTTCTAACATGCACATGTTGTGTACACAGTTCAAACAGATAATGCAAAATAAACAGGACAAAATTTGAGGACATGTGAAAGAAGTATCTGCTGATGCTTTAAAAACAGTTGGTAAAATAGAATATGTTTCCCAAGAAACTGAAGGTGTGCACTGCAGCTTTATTGTAGTTGCTTAAATTATGGTATAACATTTTAAAAAAAAAATTAACTCTCATAATACTCTTTTCTGTGTCTGTCCTGCTCTCCTGAGTTATGATGGCCATAATCCTCTAGATTTCATGAAAGTCACTACATTCAGTTGCATATTTCAGGAATTCTTTTCTGGTCCATTTAATCTCTCACTGATCTTACTGAGTGAGCAGCTCACTTGGTTGCTGGCTGGGGTTAAAGCATGAAAGTGGTACATTCTTCACTATGCTGAAGAATAATAGGTGGTCTGTTCAGTTCTTAAAGCTAACTTGATCTGTGTTGTGCTGGTTCAGTAGACAAAAAGGAATAACCAAAAGGAATGAGCAAGAAAAGTAAAATAAAAAAAAGTAAACCAGGAATTATATTGAGAATTAATTACCACATCTCATAACTAGGCCAATGTAACTTTCAAGCAGCAAATTTGAAAGGAAAAGGTTGGGTTTTCTTCCCACAGAACTTGAAATTGTAAAAATCTTTGCCATAGCTGTCATGGATGCTCAAAAGTATAAACAGATAAAGGAAGAAATAAGGAAAAACTAATGGAGAATATGTTCATCAACAATTGTTGAACTTTATGGTCGACACCACTCAGTATTTGGAATTTGGCAAGTTAGATGGGCCAGAGAAAGTATCTGTAGGTGCTATTTTTATGGCCTTCCTCCCTAAGACTCTGCTGGCAATGGTCAGAGCTTCTCGCTAAGGGGTTTTTTGGTCTGGCTTAACCCCAGGGATCTTAAGTTCAAAAATTTTTTCTTCATAAAGATGAAAACCTTGGTTTTGCCATCCTGGTAAAGGAGGATAGTAGCACATAAACTGGGTATTGTTGCTGTGAATGCCCAGCTCAGTCATGGTGTTTTATTACAGTGACTTAAAGCCAACGCTCTTTCCTCCACCCCCAGGTTTTGTTGCTGACAGATGACCCAACAGGATCATTTTATTCGATCTGGATACCTAACATCTCTGCTGCTGAAGGACTTCTGAAGACTACACGTCAAGGTAGAGCTGTCTACAAGTTCCCTTCTACCACACATTATTGGAGTGAGTTCTTTGAAACGTAACACATTAGCACTAACCTTTCAGAGTAACATTCTGTTAAAGCAGCATATGCCATATAATTTCTGTTCTGTACATGCCTCTTCTGCCCCTTTGCCAAAGCACACTCTGCTGTGCTGTGTTTCATGTCATCATTGCTCATTATGATACATTCCTTTAGTAGACTGCAGGTAACTCAGTCCTTATATTTCAATGCCATAAAGATGTCATGAATATCATCTGTGCCTCAATAAGAACATAATCATCAGGAGTACAAAAAAATAATAGAAAAGAGTCAAACTGAAAAGACCAAAGAAAATGCAACAACATAAAAAAAATACATTCCTTCCACAGCTTCTATACCTACTACCTGCAGTTGAGAACAGCAAATCTGTGATACAGATTTTTTTCCAGTGATTTACATTTGCGAAGCAGTAAAAATGTTTTACTTTTCCTAACTGTTTGAATATACAGACCCACTAATCTTAAAAATAATTCAGCTTTGAGTTTGTCTTTTCGTACTTTTGACAACTCTCTTACAAAGCAGTGTTCTCAGTATGAGAATGCTTTGATCCTGTTCTAAATGAGTATTTACTCTGCATCTTTTTTAGTCTCTTCAGTCAGCAAAGGTCCTGTTGTTACGTACCGATCTAGGTCCCCAGATTCAGAGAGAAAATTTTGACAAATTCAGAACAAAATTATGTTTTGTTTTAGTACAAGAGTCAGTGTAATATATTCAATGTTATGTTTGCACTTCATTCTAAAATATATTTTGACCTCAGGTCTCTGCAGGAAAGTGCTGAGGGTTTTATTCAAAAAATATACTTCATTGTTCAAATCAGGAAGCTAAATTTCTATAAAATGCCAATATTTAGAGAAAGGAAAGGTAGAAGCAAGAACTAAGAGTTAAACCTTCATAATTTTACAAACCTTTAGAAATGGATTTCCTCATTCTGATCAGCGTAAATTGCAATTCTTTTCTAAAGAACAGTTCTATCAGCTTCTCAGAATCCCTCAAGGGATTCTCTTGTGCATTGTACAATTTTAGATAAAAGCATTTTATAATTTTTGAATAATTTAAGATTTTGTACTTTTAGAGCTACTATCCATGTGGTACTTTAGTAAACAGAATATGCAGTATGCTAACTGTGTAATTTTCTCCCACTTAACAACTTCATGTCTGGTTTAAGAAACTTGTTTAATCAGTTTGTTATATACAATTAATTAGATCAGAAATGTAGATATTTCTCCTTATTTTATCTTTCTGCATAATATTAACTGTTGTTTACCAGCTCTGGTTGTTTAACATTTACATAATTTTGTGTTTGAATTTTGAAAATGTTTATGAATTTGTATTTTGGCATTTTTATAAAAATAGTTAATGAAATAATAGAAATAATGAAATAATAGAAATAATAGAAATAATGTAGAGCTTAATTTATTATTTTTTCTGTGATTAGAAAACATTCAAACGCTGCTATGGATAAAAGATGAAGGCATGTTTTACAGGAAGCCTGAACAGCGTAACATCTCTAAAAGTTTGGGCAGGGGACAAAGAATGTTGTTGAGAGCTGCTACACTAGTCAGCTCATGCTAAGTTTGATAGTAGCTGAAGATGTTCAACATTGCATGTGATCTGCCTGACTTAAACTTAGGCTTTGATCTTGTTAATCACTTGAGAGTTTGCCTCCCTTTAATTTTGTCCTCAGGTAGGCCAGGCTACAAACATACAGCCATCAGATATTTAAGTCCTTTATTCCACTGGGTCTTTCTGTTAGATAAATTTGTTGACTATTATAATAGAAGTTGAACTATTTAGATAGTAGGAGCTCTTATATCATCACTGGGCGTAATTTTACATGTTTTGGTCATTTACAGCTCTACATTTATTATCATATTGCCTCAGAGGATTAAGTGGTATTAGTTTGTAGATAATATCCCAGGTAAGCAAAGCTGAAGCAGGGCAAGATGGATGTGATACTGGTGAACACGAGATACTGAGAAGCTCTTGCCCACGATGCAGTCGTCTTTGAGTGAAAGGTGCACATTCATCTTTAGCTTTGTATTTGAGGACTTCTGTATTCCTTGCTGATTCTATATTTCTTCTGTCTTGGTGAACTGTTGGTCTGTCTGTAGGTATGAGATAAACCTAGACATCATTGCTTGGGAAAGTTGCATGCTGCTGAGATCTCCTCAACAGCAGCATGTATTTTGAATGTGCCAGCTTGCCTTCTGTCAGCTTCCCATAGAGTTTTCAATCAAGTTATGTAAGAGACGCTTGATGGCCTGGTCACAGACCATCTTAAATACAGATTAAAGCAATAATGTCCTTCATATGGAAAAAGGATCTCTCTAACAAAATGGTTTAAATTGTGGGGGAAATCACAATTTTTTAGACTTAGTTCAAATATGTGAATAGAACAGCTTTTACCTTTCTCACTTTTCATCTTCTGAGGACTAGTTTCAGTAGAAAAGATACAGGTTTTCATGAGAAGAAAGCTTGTTTTTCCAATCTAGAATTTAGTAACAATTTGTAGTGTTGCATATAAAATAAAAACCTGTTTTAAAGCTTGTTATTAAGCAAGAGTCTGCATCATGCATACTTCTGCCTTTGGGAAATAAAAAACAACAGGTGACACAGGAAAATCAAAGTATTCATTGCAATATTGAGGGATGTACATACACTGTCATCACAAGTACATCTTCATAACTTTGATATGATGGACAAATATGCACATAGCAATTACATTTTGGACTGAAGGAAATTTAAGGCATTTGGTCAGTCTTGATTATCTTACTCAGACACAGCAAATTCCAGTTTTTGTAATAACTGAGTGGAAACTTAATGGAAGATGTTTGTCTGCATAATTTTTTTGCACATAACATGACTGTCAGTGTTGTACTTCTGTAGAAATCCCAGAACATTAGATTTACTTTATCACATCCTACTCTTGATGAATGAGAAATGCAAAGTATATTTCCAGCCTCACTTTTAGATAGACATGAGGTTTTGCTTGAAGTATGTCTTATCAACTAATAGGCAAACTTTAGACAAATCAAAATATATTTTGTGGTTTGGGTTGTGACGTTAAACTAGTGGCCTCTTTACCATGGCAAAACGTAAACAAATACAACTGTGGCCATTTCATAACAAGGGAGACCCGGATGGCTTGCTTGTGTTCCAATAAAAATTTTTTTCAAAGAAGTACACTCATAACAGTTTAGATGGTGCATACTCTTCACTTTCCAATTAGTCTTTCCAAAACTAACAGATCCAAGATTTGAATGGTCATTAACCCTGTTACTCGAGCTGCTCAGACACCAGCCTTTAAGGGCTGGGACTGCAGTTATGTCAGTGAGAAATGAGAATCAAAGTGTTGTGAGAATTGCCTGCAGACTGTTTAATAGTGGTTTCCAAATAACAAGAATAGAGGAAAAATAATTAACTAATTTATTCAGATTCTGACACAGCTTCTGTGGTCACAGGCTTGTTGCTGTTCTCAGACTAAGCTCTGTGGTCCTTAAATTCCAACAACTGTTCTACAAACCTATATCCCATGACAAATACAGAAAATTCCACTGGAACATAAGAAAAAATTTTCTTATTCTGAGGGGGGTGAAACAATGGCACAAGTTGCTCAGAGACAGCGGTTTCTCATCCTTGGAAATATTCAAAAGCCATCTGGACATGGTTCCAGGCAACCTGTTCTGCCTGACCATGCTCAGATGTGGGTTGGATTAGGTGATCTCTAGAGGCACTTTCTAACATCAACTACTCTATGATTCCAAGTCAAACCCCTTATGTCTTAGTAGTCTGTTTATAATGATCCGAATGGACCCTAATATTTCCTTGTTTATATGTCTCAAGTGGCACTTGTAATAAATGAATTTTTGATGGACAAGTAATTTAGTCTAGACATTAAATTATTATTAAGGTACTTTCTTTATTGTAAAAGGAAACAATATTCTTTATTCCATATTCATAATTCAGTGCATTTAACTTCATGTTCTAACTTAATTTTACATCTGTTTTGGAGTAATGTAAGACTATAACTGCCTTTTTAAAGCAAGAATTTGCACAGCATTCATAATAGTTGAGAAAGGCGTCTGCACTGGAATCTTGGGTCCTAGAGAGCTGGAATATTTCCAGAAGCATGTGAGATCCATATTTGTGTTATGATGTTCAGAAGCAGAGTCTTAAATATATTTACTGCTTTACAACAGGAGTTTCTAAGGTTGTCATCTAAAGTTTAGCTATCAATAATTAATTTGAACACATGGAAAAAGTTTATTTTTTTTTTCGTTATTGCCTGGTTTAAAAAACACTATGATCATTCATGTGAAATAAGTAAATGAATGTTTGTATTTATATGTAGTTAAAGAATATTGCTACCAATCACTTCTGAAAATTGAGCTGAAGTTCTATGTTTGTGTCACAGTAGTATTAATTGTCTTGAAGCTAACAGCTTCCTTTACAGACTGAGTCAGAGTAAAAACCTTATGAAAAATGTTGAAGTTTGCAAGTGAATACATAGGGAAGTGATTTATCTCAGCAGGGAGGGAGCTAATCTTTTTCCAGTTTTTGTCTGAAAATTGATGGGTTTGTTTCATAGATAAGGCTCTGGCATCAAAGGCAAACTGAAAAGAGGCGCTGCAAAAGGCTTATGGGTGGGGACAGTATTAGTCAGTTCTAGCACAGGAGCAAATTTTGTCATCAGTTATAAATATTTTGATGAAGTTAAGTGATATGAATAATTTTATATGAAATTTCAAAAGTATCCCTTTTTAGTGTTCTGTCAGTTTGATAGCAAAAATATGACTAAATACAGAACCAAAAATGACTGTGAAATAACACTTATTAGATTTATATGTTTTGAGATGTGTCTTTACCAGAGGTGGGGGCTGAGAGAGAAAATATGTCTGAGTATTGTACAACCCAGAGCATTTTGCAACAGAATGCATTC